TTTTTTTTTTTTTGTCATCAAGGACATCAATAAGTGTTATTATCGTTAGCATGATTACTGTTATTTGCATCTCGCATGGCAGGGTGCTGGCTGGTACTTACCCCAGTAGATGAGAACGAGAGAAACCAGGGGAAACAATCTGTTGAAGGCAGGCATCTTTTTTCCGCGGGTGTTTTCCGGGGCTAAAGGGAGAGATTCCCTCAAAGACTGCGCCCTCGGATTCTTTCGAGGAAACCCTTTGGGACGGATTGCCCAAAGAGGGCGACTTTCTGACTGAACGATGGGCGCCGTGCCTGGGGAGGCTCTGCTGCCGTTTGAAACCGGGAAGGGGGAAGGGGAGGTCCCAGCTCCAACCTATCCCAGCAGAACCCAATTCGAGGGAGCGATCAGCAGCGCCGCGCACTCTCCCGGAGTTGGTTGCGGGATCCGGCTCAGGACCACGGACAGTAGCTTCCCCGCCCACCCCGGAACTTCACATTCCAGTTGCTCCCCCGCGTTTCTGGCTTGCGCCCAGGGCAAGCACAGCTCGGAAGGGAGTCGCACGGCTGGCCCTAGGAGGCTGGGCTGTCGAAGGGGTCCATGTTGATTCACCTCTCGCTTCCCCTTACAACAGCTAGCAGGATCCACCCAGACCTGGGAGCTCTGGCTTCTTCCACCCGGATCGCCTTCTTCGGCTGGGCGTGTCCCTGCACCCGAAGCCACTGGGGCCTCCCGTCTGGGATACAGAGTTCGTCCCACGTCGGTCTGTACACAAGGGCCTCGGCTCCCCGGGAGATTCAGAGGTGCCGGGAAAGAGACGGAACCTCCTGTAGGGCTGGCGATGTCGGCGGTGGAGGCTGGGTAGAGAAAAGTGCCCCTGCCTTGGAGCTCGCCCCTGGATCACGCGGGGTCCCGACCCGGGTAGCAGGCGACCGGCGGCCCCTCTCCAGGCCCCCAGAGCTGTGTGTGCTCGGTTAGCCTTGACATGCGCAGGCAGCTCTCCGCCCCCACCCCCACCAAAGACCCACCCCCTTGGGCACACGGTCCCCACCCCCAAACAGGCGTGCCCCTCCCAGGGCCGAGCGCGCCGCCGGAGCGGGGGCGGAGCCCCGCGCCGCGCAAACACCTCCAGCCCAGGAGGTTTCTCATCTTGCTGTCACTCCCCGGGTCTCCCTCTTACGCCTCAATACCTCTTCTAAGCAGCCGCGCTGTGCCTCGCACCAACTCTCACACTCCGGGAGACAAGCCCACTCCTGCTCCAGCAGATATGCTTGCCTCCAGCTCCGGGAAGAGGAGGGCCAAATCTCATTCAGGCAATGATGTCATGTGTAATGTCCACATTGAATGGCTCCTGGCTTCTTTCCTCCGACCCCATCCATCCCCTCCAGCTTTCCCAGTTCAGCCTCCGTCCACCCTTGATTAATTGGTTCCCAGAACAAAGAATGCAGCAAGATAATCCCTACTTAGGGCAAGCGGGTAGGGGTGAGACGCACCTGTGCAAGTGTTTACTTCATCTCCAGAGAGGTGATCCAAGTGTCAGCGCAGGGGTAAGCATTGGGAGTTGGGGGCAAGAGGACTGCTCTTCCCTTCCGAGGTTTCTCGCAGTCCTTATAGCTCTAATCGCCTTTTCTTTTTCTTCCCTCTCTCTTTCCTAACCCTCTGTCTTTCCCTCCCTCCCTCCCTCCTTCCTTCCTTGCTGTCTCTCTTTTTTCTTACAGATCCTGGTTTGGTGTCTTCCAACTCTTAGCCACTCCCTAGTTCTAGCAGCTGCTTGAGTGTCTGCCCAATTTCTGGAAGGGAAACCTGAAACTTCACCCTCAGTTATAAACCCAAGTTGACATAACAGGTCAGGAATGCCTGGAACTGAAGTGAAAGATTAATAGAGAATGATTGGTACAAAAGCCTGCCCCCAGCTACCTTATTATTCTCCTACTGCTCTTTTGCTAAAAGGGGAAGTTTAACACTGATATTCCAAAAGGGAACACAGAGTAACAGCTGACTGTAAGTGAACCACTCACAGGAAATGCTCCCTCACAACATATCACACACAGCAACAGAACATCTAAATAAGATATCCCTGGACAGACGCCACTGGGCCATAAACTCTATGTTGGTTTGAAGACCAGCCTTTGAAGCATACTATGTTAGATTTGGATGGGAAGTTAAAGTTGATTTAATTCAACTTCCTTTCCAATACATAAATCCCCTCAGGAACGTTCCTGAGGAAGGTCCTTGACTTTTTCCTTGTAAGAAGTTATTACTTTACAAGTTTGTCACTTTAATGTTGAATTCTGTAACTCTTCCTCCCCAAACTCCATTAAATGTTTGTAATAATGTTTTCTCCTTAAGGAAGCCGTACTACCCACCCCCACAACCACTGCAACAGCAAAAGTGGTTTTTTGTTGTTGTTGTTGTTGTTTGTTTGTTTGTCTGTTTTGGGGATTGGGCTGTTTCCTTAGTTTCTTTAAGTGAAAGCCCTAATTCTTATGGTTTCCAACCTTTAGCCACCCTGGTCACTTTCTCAGGAGGTTTTTAGTTGATCACATGATTGGCCAAATGACTGATGTTTCCTATGTGGTCTCATAGGACAGATCCAGTGGAATTATGACCAGTTTTGCTTTAGAGAGTGTATGTATTAAATACATTTGAATTGCATTTACATTATAATGATCTTATGTTCAGTTAAAATCCCAAAGCATCTTTCCTCAACCTGGTGTAGAGTTAGTTTGAACTTGTGCAGGGTATTTTAGAAAAAATTTTAATGAAACTTTGCATTTACTGCTGTTAACATTGATTAGTTGTTTGCTTTAACCTTATAAGTAAAAAAAATAAAGATTCAGGGTGATGACTGATTCTTCACTGCTAATGTGAAGTAAATTTTTGAACTGGTAAAGTTTTCCCCTAAGGTGACCTGCCTATTTTGCAGAATGCCTGGGAATGATCTGTCCATTCCCTATACACTAAAAAGTAAATTGTTCTAACTCTTTATACTTGCAAGGAACATAAGTAGTCCCTAGCATAGGTTTCCCTTTGACATCTTTATAGCATTAAAGTGACCAATTAAAAAAATTTATTAGTTGCAAGGAAGTATCACATTTATTGAATTCTGATTCAATTACCAAATATATCTATCTTCTTTAGCTTAATTTTTGTCTCTTTGACAATCACTTGGTCTCCACATCAGGTTTTTAAAACAATGAATAGCAAAAACAAAAACTAAGAATCCTTTGACATGCTCCTAAGGCTTCAGTTTAGCTTAACAACGAGCTACTAATTAAAGTTCTTTAGTAGGTTGCTCAATCATAAATAAATACCCAAACATATCTTCTTACTTAAATAAGTACAGTATGATACATTTTGAAAACTTAGAGGAATAATAAAACATAGGAAAGAAGTAGGATCAATGCTTTACTTTTACATGGAAACAGATTTTTAGTAAAACAGTTCAAGTCATTTCAAGGAGGAATTAATCTTTTTCATTATGTTTCAAACTTTTTTTATCCAAACAAACAGGGATATTTAAAGGGGGAAATCTAGGGTTAGAAATTTAGAAAGAATTGTGATTTAATTTCAATCATCTTGATATTCTATGTTTTTATTGAAAAAGTCTCATCAAGATTGAAATAGGGTGACTGAGATATTTTCAGTCCAATAATTCTATCAAGTGCCATACACTAATCACAGCAGGCTTAGATTAGCTTTATTAATTTCTTAATTTTTTTAGATATACAGATGGTAGAATATATTTTCACATATTATACATACATGGAATATAACTGATTCTATTTAGGATCCCATTCTTGTGGTTGTAGATGATGTGGAGTTTCACTGGTCATGTATTGATACATGAACAGAAGAAAGTTGTGTCTGATTCATTCTACAGTCTTTCCTAATCCTATCCTTCCTCCCTTCCCTTCATTCCTCTTTTTCTAATCTAGTGATCTTCTATGAATGGATGTGGGAGTAAGAGTAGTATCCAAGGAGTGAAGAGCTGAAGCCAGAATCAATATAAGGAACAGAAAAAGAATCATCAGAGAAATAGGAGAAGGTCCAGCAAGATGCAGTACTACAGTGGCCAGGGAGAAGGAGCCTCAAGACTTGAGGGACATTCTCCTCCTTCGAGGAGATTCCAGCTATTAATGCTCAGAGGCGAGACGAAGGAAGAGGGTGGTACAGAGCCTGAGGGGTTCAGAGATTTTGAGATGGAGGCCACAAAAATGACTGATAAAAGGAACAGTGGCATCTGAGATAGGCAGAGAGAGGTTAGCTTCCCAAGGGAAGAAACTCATTTCTCTGCAGTTACTGGGGAGGAATGAGAGGCAGCAGTAGTGCCAGTGATATTATGAGTAAAAAAGGGGACATTAAGATGCACACATATTGGCCTTGGTAAAGCAAGAAGCCATATTATCCCTTGAGTAGGGAGGCCCTTAGGGAGGCCCAGGAAAACATGGGGATAGGGAAATGGCCCAAATCACTGGAAGTTCTTTCTTGAAACATAGAAGAATATTGAGAAGCATTTCAGGATCAATGCACACCTGAAATAAGAGTCAGGATGCAGAAATCAGAGCCCAACCTCGGCAAGTCAAATGACCTGCTTTTTCTATTCGAAGTAGATTTTCCTAAATACTGCACACTCCAATGGGACAAGGAGACAGAAGAAACATGTTTACTTTAAACTGTGGCCAGTGAGCACATACAGGATTGAACGATATCAGCTCCCCCCACCCCAGTGATTCCCCCATCCTTCCAGCCAGCTGTGTGGCATTGTCACCAGCCAAGGGAAGTTTGGGATTAGGACAGGAAACAGTGACATTATGATTAGACTATGTAATCCCTTCCTGGATTTTCACATGGTAAGAAGCTGATGAGTAATATGGGACCTCTCCCAAAATGTTTGTTGAAATATATTGAATTTCTTTTTAAAAAATTCTTTATAGTTATATACAATTTTTAAAAAATTTTTATTTTTTATTAGTTGCTCGAGACAATACAATGATTTTGACATATCATACATTTGATTCAATGGAGTATGAATTCTCATTTTTCCACATGTAAAGATTGCAGGATCACATTGGTTATACAGCCATGTTGATACATACAGCAATACTAGTGTCTGTTGTATTCTGCTGCCCTCCTTATCCCCCTCTCCTTTCCCTCCCCTCCCATCACCTCTCTCTACCCAATCTACTGTGACACATTTCTCTCTCTTTTTTTCCTTCCCCCTCACACCATCATATATATATTTTTTATAACGATGAGGGTCTCCTTCCATCTTCCATGCAATTCCCCTTCTCCCTCCCATTCCCTCCCACCTCTCTTCCCTGCTTAGTGATAATCTTCTTCTCATATACAATTTTTATATAAAATTTTTAAGTTATATATTCCTTTATAGTTATATACAATTTTTTAAAGTTATATATTTTTTTAAAGTTATATAACCCTGACAATTCCCAAAGCATGGAACACAGTTCAGTCCCCAGCACTTCCCAGCCCCTCTCCTCTATCCTGCTCCCTCAACTCCATTGATCCCTTTTCAGTTACAGTGTATTTTTCTTATTTTTATTTTTTAATTTAGGGTCCTCTAGATACACCTGATGT